CTCCATAAATAATTATTAATTATTCTTATTTCTCAAATCAATCAATAAAGAAAAAATTTCAGAAATCAGGAAGCTACACCTGAACAATGGCAGATAATGCAGACTCTACACGTTGATGAAGGCAATAGCTAATGGCAAACTGAATGGCTTTTGATCTAAGAAATGCCCTAGTCACAACATCAACAACTTTTGCTGATTCTGTCCCAGCCAGTGGAACTCTGTCATGATCCCTGATGTCAAGTCGGGCCAAGAAATGACTCCAGAAAGCATCCAAAGGAAATAAGATAGCATTTTCTTTCACGTAAAGAATTTCCAAAGCATCTATCAATGACCAGATAGCCTTGCATGCTTCACAGCAGTACGCAGCACATTTGAAGAACCTGAATTGAGACTTGAACCTGAAGTTGCTAAACATAGACATAAATTATCTACCAAGCAGGATGCTATAGCATGGTCCAAAATTTGTTTCAGTGATTCATTCACCACAGGGGGCGAAGGAGCTGCCTCTGAAATCAGAGTTGGGTTACATTTTTTAAGATCTTGAGCTACTCTAGATAAAACGATTGTGAGGCAAGAACAAGACTCATACAAAACTTTCCTAGAGACATCTTCATTCCCACCAACAACCTATATGCATATATATAAGTATGAGAAAGGCTGAGGCAGGTGCATCAAATACCAACAAAGATCTCTGTTTGGATATATAATAGAATTTAGAATATAACCTGAGGGAAAATATCAAGTATGACAAACCAGTGCTTCAAATATGAATTTGCAACATCACTACCACGGTTCTCTGTCAACATTTTAATAATTGAAAAACTCTGCAAAAGTAGCATATCAAAGAAATGTCAGCAAGAGTTATCAATGATCAAAAAGAGAATGTGCTGAATAAAATTCAGTGATAAAAGATTTAAGTCTCTAAAGGATTGAATCATTTCCTTAAAATATCATCTGAGACAAATTATAGCATCAAAAATCATGCCAGAAAAGGAAACAACAGCTATATCTGTGTTTAAATGGAAAAGGAGAAGAATGCACAATTAGAAATGGAAAAGGAGCCCAAACTACTTGATTGAATAGATAGAAAATCTGTAAGACTTAAGAAAGGAAAAATAGGGTGAAAATTTATGATCTACAAAAAAAAAACAAACTAATCTTGATATGTGCATGAATAATAACTGGATTTCATGTACCCATGGAATTTACATGGTGGATTCATGAGGGCTAGAAATTGCTAGTTGAGATTTTAATTAATCATATACCAACCTTTGCTATCAAGTCATTAACTGCAGACAATTTCAAGCCAACTATAACAGAAGTAAAATCAAGAAGTTCACACATTATTTCATGATGCAGTCCACCAGAACATATAGCACTAGCTGCAACTAAGTTTGCAAGAATTCTCAGTGACTGGCTTGAACTGAGGATATCTTGATCCCTGTACAAGTTTAAAAGAAATTACAATTAGCAACAAAGCATCCTGACATCTGCCATTCACTTAAAGAAAATATCATATCTGTAACCAAAAATCATGTTAGATGCACGGTACAAAAGGATAATGATCCATACAACCTAACTTTATCTGCAAGAATCTTGGGATCCTTTTGACCATCTCTTCAATGGCAGCAAAACAAGTGTTAGGGCTTCATTATCTTGACCAATAATTTGAACACCTTTAACAGTTCGGGAACTATTTTCTAATTGGTCCAAAGACTGGTTACCTAAAGAAAATAATATATAATATCTTAATATATAAGAACAACTTCATGTCTCACAAAAAATAAAACAGAACCAACCACATTTGGAATAACCAAAATTAGAGACGAGAACAGTGGGTTAAAATTCTACCATCATCAAAGCAGGTGAGTGTTTCAGTGTTTCAATAGATGATATTAGCCAGAAGTTCAAGACGATAATACATATTTGATGAGAAAAGCTTTACATAGAAGTAGCAAATGAACAGGGCCAAAGTTATTCTAGGAATTTCTGCTACATAGTATGTTAACAGAGAAAGAGGACAAAATTTATCAGTGTAATCATCCATCTCTTAGCAGATATATGGCAGTAGTCACTTGAAGATGAAGAAAACATAGCACCAAGCATTGAACAAAATATTTTTCTACTCCACCAGCAACCATCAGAAAGGCATCCTGCTTTAACATGTAAAACAAAAATCTGAAAAAACAAGATCACAATTCTGCCAACCTGATGGATTATGATCGTTAGGACTTGAAAGCCCTGAAAACTCCTCATTTGGTAAAGAATTTCCCTGGACAGTATTAAGATTGTTAAGTTGAGAATCACTCTGAACCCTTAGAGCAATACCATTCCCTGAAACAGCACGAGAGTTGCTTTACCCAAAAAAAAAAGAAAAAAGAAAAAAACCATAGGAGGTAAAAACTAAAAAAATATGTATCCAGGATAGGAAGGAAAGGTGACAGTCAAAGTGTCAAACAACTGGTAAAATTCAGACCATTTGGAGTTTGAATGACATTGCCTACTCCCTTCCATGCAGCATCATATCCTCTGGTTGTAGGAATTGGAGGACACATCTCCTGAAATGTTTCACCAAGTATCAAATATCCATGAATCCAAAGTGTGTTAACTCATAAAAGATGCACAGCCACAATTTTCTTGGATGCATGATATGTTGACACTGTTATATAGAACAAATATTTCACATCACTCTCTTGTTTCCAACAAGGAATAAATATATTGTAAACATCAATTTGTTACCTGGGCTTGCAGCTCATCTGAGGTTTCTTTACCAAATGGATGTTCAAGAAGTGCAGGCCACGTTACTCGATTTTGAGGCTCCTGTTTCCCATGATATTAGAACCAAATCACAATTTCTGATAAAATAATGCTAAATCCAGTCATTTTCATTTAAAGGACCAAAAAAAAAAACTCATTTAAATGAAGAAAACTTCCTATTAGATCAACCTTATTGAGCAATCCCTTCAGAAAACTCTTGAAAGTTGGACTCATATCATCTGGGTTTTTGACTGGATCCTGAAGCACCAAATCCCTTCATTTTAGCTTTAACTTGACACACAAACTATGAGAATTTGAGAAAGATTTTATGGGAAAAAATTGCAATTTGAGGGACCTTAACAATGTGCCAGATGAGTGCATATACTGAATTTGTGTAAAATGGTGGTTGCCCAACAAACAATTCATACCTATTAGATCCATGGTTAGTGAGTTATTTCAATCACTACAAATAATTAACAAAGGAGGAGATAGAGACAAAAAAAATAAACAACAGATAGGAAGCTGTTAGGATATTCCCATCACCACGACATTTTAATTTTATTAGTTCTAAAAATATAAAATTATCAACAATTATGTATTTCTTTTAAGAAATTCAGAGTAGGGAAAAAGGCTAAACAATATTAGTTTTTTATCTCTCACTGGAAAGTGGAAACACGCATATGGACATGCTTAACATCTAATCACTTCAACAATAACCCAACTATAGAAAAATGCTGGGAAAAATTGAGAAGCTTTCTACTTACAGTATAACTCCAAGAGACCATAGGTCAGCAGTGTGATTGTAGGGCTGCTCTCATACCAACTCTGGGGCCCTATACAGAGGAGTGCCTGATAAAATTTCAGAAGAACAGTGCTAAAAAGGTTACATAGGAAGAAATGACTAGACATTTTGCTGTGTATATCAATGATAGATACAAATTACATAAATAAAACCATTTAGATTGTACTTTCATTCAAACCTTTTATGGAGCGCAAAACAACAGTATTTACGGACATTGCACAGGCAAATCCAAAGTCACAAAGCTGCAGTGAATGAATAGGGTGTGAAACTTAACAATAAATAATTGACATATATTATAACTTATAAGAATGGTAATCATAAACAAACCATACTTAGTAAAATTTTTAAATAAAAGACACGCATGTTATCAATGTAACAACCTTAACAACACAACCAGCTCCAATTAGGATGTTCTGTGGCTTCATGTCACAATGTATGATACGGTTGGAATGCAGGTAATGGAGCGCCCTGACCTACATTTTAACAACCAAAATAGGAAAACTTTATACGGACTAAAACAAGTATGCCAGAAGCATCTGAAACCAAATGACAGGGAAATAATATTACAGCTATATTTCTGAGATGAAATTACCAATTGTTTAGCAATCACTTGAACTTGTTCTTCTGGAAGGCACTTATCATCCTCAATAATCTCAAATAGTTCACCCTACAAACAAAAGAAATGCTATGAACAGCTAATCCACCAGGCACCATCTGCAATGTTTTTCCACACGAATAGTTGTTTGCATAAAAACACAATCTACATACAGCGCAACTACAGAGAAGACAAAACATAAAATTACCTGCGCAAATTCTGTGACCACACAAAATTCTTGTGGAGTTTCAAAGGAGTCAAGCATTTCAATAATATTCTCATGCTTCAGCTTCCTCAGAATCTGCAGTAGTTAAGGAGTCAAGAATCAACATTGAAAAGCGTTATACCTGACATAAACCGAGGCAAAAGTACAAAAACTTTCAACGTAAAGTAATTAAATCTTCACATCATAGTTATAGTTTGGTCCCAAACACTTGAGTATACATGTCATAGGCCTGTACCATTTCAAGTGTTCAACAAAATTTTGCTCAAACATGATCTAGACTATAAATCGCACTGAAATTCCTTCTTTTTTTCTTGGGTATAAATAGAAAGAAAAATATAGTGAAATTATTACCTCAATTTCCTGTCTCAAGTTACGAATGTCTTTGTCACTCTTGCCTTGCTTCACAATGAACTTCATCGCGACGATCTGATATTCAGGAAAACAAGGTGTAAAAGAAGAAACAGAAGCTATTAAGCAAAAATAGAAAGAGAAATAGAACAAGTGAAGTACCTGTCCGGTGAACTTTCGCCTTCCTTTGTATACCTTTCCGAAGGAGCCTTCATCGACCAACTCAATTACATGGTAGTCTTTTTAAACCCATGTTTTGATGATTCTAAGCTGCTCGCATTTATAAAATTAAACTAAATTCATTTAAAAGCTGGATTTGAAGCTGATAAACTGATGATGGAGCTATCAGCTATCAGCTTCGGGTTTCAATTTAATTTACAATATCAAGATTTTGCGGTGAAATTGAACGGAAATTACTATCCAAAGTAATCAATTTTTCTACAGAAAAAACCTAATTGACGACAACATTCAAAGTCATCAAACGCGATGAAATTCCACCAAAAAAAAGAAAAAAGAAAAAAAACTCAGCATCGAGATTGAGATTACTAGGGAGAGCAGTTACCTGAGGGGAAATCAGAAAATGGAGATGAGTTCCAAGAACAGTTTTCCAATCCCTCATTCAGTATGGGCAAGAAAAATCAAAAATGAATTCCGGAGATTGAGTGTTGACGAAATCTGGTATTCCCGCTCCCAAAGTTCAAATTATTTTATCAGAACAACCTGGTAGCAACACTATTATTACATTTTTATATTTAAGTGAAAAATGAGAAGATTTTTCATGTGAGGAATATATTCAGCTCTATAATAGTGTTATTATTTGTAATTGTTTTATGGAAAAATATATTATGCAATTGGATTTGCATGGGTTTATACTCTTAATATTAGAGTTTTTTTTCTTATCTAAAATATTTATTAAACTGTAAAATAAAAAATTTATTTT